AATGATCATCGAAAATATGCAAAAAGTGAAGAATTCAACCTATATTTTTTTTCATTTGTCTATAATTAAATATCTTAATGTGATTTTTTACTTTTGTTCCTCAGTAGGGAGAATATTAATTTTTTTATTGGAAAATTGATGAATTATAATTTAAATACTGATAAAATAATTAATAAAATAGGAGATTAAAAATAGGTGTATGAACAATTTCGGGGAATTGCTATTTCGGTGTAATTTAGTATTCTAGCGTCAGTTTTTTTCATTTATTGTCAGTTATTGTTGGAGTTACTAATCTTTGTTAAGTTGAGAGGAATCAGTAATTACCTTGAACGCAAACTGGCCACTGTAATCGTACATGCCACAGCTGTGCATCAAGCTAAGAACGTCTCGAACACTGTCAGGTTTTAAGACCTTCTCTTCGGTGATGGGACATTTTTTTACTATTTATATTTATATGTAAATATTTTGTTTTTAAATAAATTACACATTAGAGTAACTATCCAATTTTATAAATTTGTTCGTGTTTATTTCTCTTTTTTATAGAAAATAAATTCACCTGGAAGTAGAAATCCATGATTTCCCTCAAGTTCGATTTATCAGGATAGCAATTATGTTCTCTCATATAGAAGCCAAGAGCGTAATTTCTGTCTGCAGCTTCTCGTTCCGAGAGAAATACAGCGTTATTGAAGCCTAGATTCTCTCCGCCTGCTAACCTCTTGAAATAGTTCATCGTGAAATCGAATTTCTCGGCTAACGTCATCTCGGGTTTGATTAGAGTCTTGAGGAGGGAACCGACTAGGATCGCTCCTGCGTTGATCATGGGATTATGAGGTTTCTCTGTAATACACAAATTCAGAGCCGTTTTTAGCGCAAAAGCTCGAACGGCAACGGCAAATGAGTGGCAACATTGAAAACTAAGCAAATGAGGAAAATGGTGAAATTGAGAAATAGAAAAACTAGAAAAATGGTGAAATTGAGAAATAGAAGAATTGAAAAAATGGCAAAATTGAAAATAGGAAAATTTAAGAAGTGATGAAATTGAAAAAGAGGAAGATTTTTAAAGTGGCAAAGTTAAAATTAGAAAAAGTGGTGAAGTTGCAAGATAGGATAACTGGAAAAGTTGAAAAAGAGGACAATTGGTAAATATGAAAAATTTCCAAAAAAGAGAAGTAGGAAAATTGCAAAACTTGCGAAATGTCGAGAATAGGAAGAATGGGAAAGTTCAACAAATGAAAAAATTCTAAAAAAATTTGAAGATACACGCGAAAAAGATGAACGACTTACTATTATAATCCAAAACCAGCTCGTTGAAGTTCCGTCCAGACGGTTCCTGACCGACATACTGATGCACCACTTCCTGCCCAAGCCTGTCCAAGGCGATGGCATAGGTCAAAGGCTTGCTGCAGCTTTGTAGGGTGAACGGAATCGTGGTGTCACCGATGCTGAACCTCTGTCCATCGATCGTGCAAACAGAGACACCCCAGTACTCCGGATTCATTCTTGCTAGTTGAGGTATGTACGAGGCGACCTTGCCCTCCGAGTTCGACTTGCATTTCCAGTAGGAGTCCTCTATGTGCTTGGTGAAGTCAGGCCAATCCGGGATGATGAATTGGTGCCTGAACGCTCGCGAGATCAACACTATGTTAGGATTTATGATCCTGAAATTGGAAACCATAATCTACTAATTAGAGAGAATTATAGATTAATTGAGAAATTAAAGGGGGGTATTGAGTGGGAATTTTCATGAAAATTTCGAATTTTAACTCAGGTCGAAAAATGATACCTAATATTGGCGCTTTTTTTTCTTTTTTTTTAAGAAAATAACAGACTCGATCGAAAACTTTTCGTTTCATTTCTTTACAAAATACAGCTGCATCGCCGAACCTCTATTTCGGACGAACTGCTGCCACACGGTTTGATTTAGAGTAAAATATGAATAATGTTCATAATCTACATACCAATTACCAAAGAAGTATACATACAGAATCTTAAAAGAATATTGAGTTTTATAGAAATGGTGAATATATGAAACAAAATGGTATTTTCTTCCTAAAATTTTAGTATAAAAATGTTAATTGCAGAAAAAGTTTGCAATATATTGCAAAAATCCTATGCACTTTTCTAGATTATATCTCAATGTAGAAGTTATGAACAACACCGACTTTAAAAATGTCATTCTGGGAAAAACGCGTTTAAAGTTTCGATTACCGATTGACAGAGTAGCATGAAACCATCGAATGTTTTTATTTAAACTATTTGGATTATATTTTTAAAGTATAAACTATCAATTTAAGCAACAAAATGTATGGTCTAACTCCTTAAGTAATTGGAATATTACTGTTATTATAAAAATTGTTAAATAATTTGTTTTATAGAATTAAATATTGGGACGAGGATTGTATGAATTCTTTCATGCTGCTGGATGTTTCGAAGAATGTTTCTAATAAATTTATATTTGCAAAATTATGCATAAAATAAAGGTTAGATTAACTTTTCTGTACTATAATATATTTACCTTCTAAATTGTTCCCTGCTCAATTTCTGTGTCTCATGGGAGACACCCTCGTGGCCTCCGCTGTTCAAGTGCTCCTTCTTCAGGTTATCCGTGAATTCTTGAAGCCTAGGGTCGTTACTTCTTAAACCTGTCGTCCTCAGTGCCTGAGAACAGGCGAAAATAAAATAATCGAAAACGCTGATCTTAACAGAAAGTCTATTCTGTAATTGAATCTTGGGCAATTTTTAGGATAAAAAGTATCAATACTCACGGCTAAGAATTTTCCCACTGCTAGAAGGCCAGTTTCTTCATTCATGAACATATCAAAGAGGGCATCCTCTGCGTTCGTCGCTTGGTCATGATCTCTCGTACTAAAATAACGAGAAGTTAGACAATCGATAATTTAATATTCGTGTAATTCAACGAAACTTTTTTCACCGTACAAAAATTCAGAGGAAAAATAAAGAAATTATACACGTTGCTCTACTCTATTGTAATACATCACTCACAGAAAGATACTATAATACAAAAACTATCATCATGAACACACTCAGCTGAAATAATTACCACGTGGCATGCAGCAAATCATCTCGTCAAAATGGCGAAATCAATTTCAATTTACACACTTCGTTATGCACCAATGTTAGAAAATTTCGATAGAAAATAAATTCACTACTGACATGCGTAACTATTTCATTTGTACACACGATTAAGATACAAATTGTGCGTATGAATGACGGTTTCAAGCCAAGATACGTTCTTCACAAACGCAGTAAAATCATAGACCATAGAGATCAACCTTCGAACTGGATTCTCTGAGGCTAACCTTAGTAGAAATTATACTTCTACTAACTACGTCTATTATTCGGTAATTGAATGACGTAAGTTATTAGCAAGTTTTAGTTTGTATAGAAAATTGGTCGAGCAAGTGACACCATACGCGAAGAAATGCTTGGAACAAGTTTAAAAAATGAAGATAATGGAATAACAACTTCACAGTGGAATATTTGGTAAAAGTATACCTGAAATGTTATTACTTTTGAAAAAACTATTATGTATTACGTAAGCGTAAAAACCTTATGACTTTGGCCTTGAGGTTTCTTAGAATGGGCGATATGGACTTTCTGCAATTTTAGTGGCATTGAAATCACCGAATACGAGGTTCAACCTTACTAAACAAATTTCAAATAAATTCAATAAAATTAAAAAAGAAAATTATTAGGTTGGTGTATATGAGATGTCGGTTTTTTTAAACGAAACTTTAGATACATTGTGTTCCTTCAAAAAATAATGCATTTAATCGAAATAATTTCCATACGATTCTATACACTTTTTTCAACGATTAACTGGTTTCATTATTTCAAATATAGAAAAATCGTTAGTCTTTAAATTGAAGAAATCTTTGAACGCTATTTTTACAATGTCTTTATTTCGAAATAATTTAGTTTTTAGAAAAATTACTCAGGTGTTTAAAAAAAATGGTAGTCTGTCAAGGAAAGATCTAGTGAATAGAAGAGGATGTGGCAAAATTTATCCTAAATTCTTTTCAATAATTTTTCTTAAAACCTTATCATCCTAGGCCCTATCTGTGGTCTTTGGAATATTTCCTCCATGTAAAAAAATTGCCGTATCTGGCTTATTTTCAACGAAAAATTACCCATCGTGAATTTTGCACACCAACGTTCAAGTGTCCTAACATTTATATATCTTTTTTTCAAATGCTAAATTTATATTATTCATTATTCATAGCGATTATTCATCACGTCAAATAGTAATGTTCAAACTATTGTTTTATGAATTCTTTTACTATTCAATATACGTGTACTATTATACAACAAATTCCTTCTTCTTGACTGTTGTGTATAAAAATTGATGATCGAACAAAATTTAATATATGCTGATGAAAAAACGACATTTCATTTACATCAACTTAATAGAACAAAAGAATCTCTTACTATTTTGCTAAAAGAAAAATTCCAAAAGAAGAAGAAAAAAATAATAATTTCGATCAATGTCACACGTGTTACACCATGCAATTATTCATAGTGGTCAGCAATATAGTTGCATAGTACTCACTATATATAATGACTGTCATGAATTAAGCTGTACCCGCTGGAAAAAGAGAATTAGAACAAGTGATCAGTAAAAATCGTGAAAAAATGACGAATTTACCTAAGAAAACGTGCCAGTAGTCTTCTGGACTCTTCGTCCCTCTTTTCTAACCATATAGAACACGCGATCTTCGTTCTGATCGAATAATATTCGGAACCGACCCCGTTACTTATCGGCACCAGCTCAGAATTCCCATTCGAACAGTTTTCAGTCAGATCGATGGAAGGCATAACAATGTCTTCGTTCTTTTCCTTCATTTTTCCACGTCTACGAGCTTTGCAAGATAAAAGTTGAAAATAGAAGAAAAATTTGGAAAAATAAAAATGAAAATTTTTCGCAAATACCTCGTTGAAGAATGTATTCTTTTATTCTTAATCACTGGTAACTTAATTGTCAGGATTCGATAGTTCAACTTGACACGTTGTTCTTCACGTGAATGAATTATTTAATAATTTACTATTATCACAGGGGACAGAATTTTTATTGAAAGGATTTTAGAAGAATAATTCCAGAAGCATGAAAAGGACCGATCAAGGAAGTTTAGATGATCTCTGGAGGATCTGCGCACGATTCTTGCGCGATCCGTGCAACGCTGGTGCTTATATCGAGTGGGAAAAACGAGTGATGGCCCCACTCGAAGAACGGAAAACACGAGCCAAAATAGCAAAGACACGAACAGGTAGCAACCGTGGTAGAAATACACTATGTGTAAATGCAGTTTGAACATGTTCCGGGGCAAATAACTTTGGTAAATCATTATCTAGGAGGACGTAATTGCACGGTAGCAAAAAATACGTCACGACCCCTACGTCGTTTCTTTAACTTTCTAACAATTGCAAATTATATTTCAAATCTTTGCATTTACACAACATTTTAACGTTGTTCGTTGATTGTTAAGAACGTTGGAAAAGAACTCTAACAATTTGAAGGAAATTGGTTTTGCGATCATTGTCATTCTTCCGCTATTTCTTCCTTGAAAGAGATATTACAACGTCTTGTAATATCAATTCAAAATTGTAGATGTAGATTAATAGTTGAAGATATTCTATATTTGTAAGGAAATTTCATTTTAACTGTAACTTTGATATAAATTTATAAAATTGAAAATTGTCAAATAGAAGTTATTTGCAAAAGAGATATTGTTCGTTAATTTAAACTTTAATTAAATTTCAAATGATAAAATTGTAAATCGTCGAGTAGGTATACACTGTACGTAATACTTGGAAAATGTTATTTGACGAGTATAAATTTGAAAAATTGCGAGAAAAAGGTTGAATGATAAAATAGAATTTCTGCGTAAAAAGAATCAATTCTAGGAAATAGAATTTCGAAATATTTGATCATATTTTCAAAGGTATATTTTACTTAAGATATTTTTTAAAGTTTCCGCATCTGTCGAATCGATATTCCACCATTGCAAGTAAAACTTGCACGAACACGCTATTTGCTATGTATACATCGAATATCGTGAACGATAAATCGCTACTAGGATAAACAGTTCATTAGGCTCTATTAGAGCTGTTGGAGGTTCGAGAACGACGGTCATCTGGTCAGCAACAAGAAAAGCTTTTTAATTTGATCGTCAGTACGCACAATTCAATGGAAACAACAGATATACATACATACATATATTATATACATATGTACACATTGGAATTCCCAAAAGTTTTCAAGAAATTACCACAGTAATTTAATCAAATAAAACAGAAATGATTATTTAGTCCGGAAAAAAGATGAAGGATACAAGAAAATTTGTTCAAAAGTCGATAAATAAATAAACACTTCTGTTAGAAATTACCACAGTGACTTAATGAAATTATTATTTACTCAGAAAAACATGAAAGATAAAAGAAAATTTGTTGAAAAATAAATATTCCCAATGTAATTTTTCTTAAAAAAAATGTGTACTTTATTTTATAAATCCTCTGAAACTTACTCGAAATATTTTTGTTCTTATCGAGAAATTTCTTTCAAATTTTTCTTAGACTTATTTGTAAAAAAGTAAAAATTGATTCTTACCGAGAAACGAATTTACGAAAACCGATCAGATCATCCACGAACGGTTCACTGAAGTCGAAGCTGTCCATTGTCAACTCGAAGAAAGCGATCGATCGAAGACTAATCGTCCATCGTTCGACGAGAAACTTATCCAAGTTCTACTTCTGTGTCTACGCGAACGCGTTGTCGGTCTCCCTGAACACTCGAGATTCTCGAAAGTCGAGCAAACTTATGGAGAACGAAATGGACATCCTCTGAGTGTATTTAAATGGACAGTGGTGACGTTAAGACAATAAATTGCGATCCGTGGGGTCGGGTCATGGGGAATCGATGGTTCTCAATTAATAAGCGATACAATCGTTCCTCTATTAGCAATATCAAACTTCGAAATATATAAATAGAATTTTTAATAAAGAAACCAGCAATCGAACGAATTATGAAGTGAAAAGAAGGGACGAGATAATTTAAAATTGAAGAAAACGTTATTTTAAAGGAATAGGTTAATTAAAATAATTTTCCAATTTTTCGAAAAATTTAAGAAAGAATAATTCTTAGAGAAAAATTTCTAGTTGAATAAATTATAAAACGAAAGGGGATAATATTAGGTCATCTCATAAATTCGTATCGAATTTTATAATTTCAATCAATATTTCCTTTAAATTTGATAAAAATAAAACGTAAGCGCCTTCTTGTTCCACAATTTTTTCCTATTGTTTTTTTCTTTGTGGGTAAGACCATTATTTCGCCGCTATAAAATTTCCTTGGATTTTCATTTAAATATTTCTCGCTCTCGACATGAAGTTATGAGATAACCTAATATGATTAAAAAATTAAAGGACGATAAAGGAGCAGGTTAAAATAATTTTCTAATTTCTCGTAAAAATCCAAAGAGTTATTCTTAAAGAAAAATTTCTAACTGAATGAATTACGAAACAAAAAGGGTGTGATATGATGGAAAAATGAAAGAGTATTAAAGGAACAAGTTGAGAAAAATTTCTGTTCTCTTAAGAAACACGTGAATAACGTGAATCATCGAAGTTTTAACAGGATTTAAATGGAAATGAGAATGTTAATCGAGGCGTAATCGAATTTTCCAGCTGTGTGCGCTAGGATAATTAATAAGTTCCTTGAATAGAAGCGATTGAGAACCGTCAGTATCGATTACTTCGGATTTATTGGCTCTCCAATATGCTCCACTTGTTAGTACGGGATCTATTTCTTCATTGTTACGAGAAACGATCAGGCTTCCTTTTTCTTCCCTCTCTATTTGAAACGAACGACAGGAATAAACATCTGCGAAAACTATTATACCCATTGGCGTGGTTCAACTGCTCTGACTTCGTTTGTTCCCTAAATTATGCAATTGACTTCGAAACTGTTCCATTGCACTACTTAACTTGCAGATATGTATCATAAATATACAGTGTGTCATATAAGTGGTGGAACAAGTGGACAAATAGTTTTTCTACATGAAAAACTAAATCAAAAATATACAACAATATTTTTCGATACGAGGTACTCGCGATACGAGTACAAGCTGTCGCTCTTGCTCATACTTTTACGTTAATAGTGGTAATGTCACATTTCGCAAAGAAATAGTCTACGCAAAAGATAGTGTAAATCTACAGCTAAAAGAAAAAATCGTATAGGCTTTCACACGATTAAAGTATCATCAGTCCACGACATACCGATTCAAAGAGCAAGGATTTGTACGCGTTAACACGGTCGTCACTTTCAACAATTCGTTCAGTAATGTAAATTTAAATTAAGGAAATCGTTGTAATAAATGTATTATCAATATTTATCATGACATTGGTATCGTTTACTAGTACAAACGTAAAACCGAGAGATAGTTAAATGCACACGCACTCGATGAATTTTTAAATTCAATTTTCTCAAAAACTAAGCCTCTTATGAAATAATTTTATTCTATATTTTTGATTCAGTTTTTCATATAGAATCACTACCTTCTCACTTGTACCACCAGTTACATGACACTCTGTATATTAATCGATCGCTCTATCACTTGTTACGTACGCAGCCTAGCCGATATGGTGGCGCCAAGTGTTTAATCTATCTTACATCCCCTGGAAAGTCCTTGAGATAGGGCAGATGAGCGCAGTCCGTTCCCAGGAAAATCTAGCGTCCCCACCACCAAAACTCACGATTTTTGAGGTATGTAAGGGCCTGATTTTTGACGCTCAGGGTCGCAGTCTTTTACCAGAACGTCACTCTGCCCGTCGGAACGTTAACGCGAGCAAGATCGGGTTGTAGTCCCTTTCGAGCGTAGAATTACTATATTCTCAATACGGTCTAAGGCACCCCCGCGGCTTATCGCGTAAACTGAGAAGGAATATCCTCGCCAAGTCGAGAATTAACCATTTAACTATTTAACTATCATTGTAACCGATCGTTGAATCCAAGTAACTTGTAACTTCTTATTTATACTAGAATCATTATTATGTCAGACTCGCTCATTTCAACCAAACCTCTCCTGAGTAACGAATCAGCTAAACTCACAAAGATATACACTACCGGCCAAAAGTTTGGAATCACTACGTAAATTAAGAGAAACTTTAAACTTAAAATTAAGAGAAACATTTTATATTATTTTTTGTACGAAGAAATAGATATTTTTCTTTAAATTGCCTTTTCATCAAAAAAACCACCCTTACTTCTAATGACAGCCTGACATATTTTGGGCATCCTGGCAATTAGTTTTTCGAGTATTTCTAACTTTAAATTTTTCCATGCTTCTTGTAGTAGTTGCCAAAGGTGTCCTTTCGATGTTGGACAGTGCAACCGGATATTCCGATCGAGCTCTTCCCACAAAAATTCTATCGGGTTCAAATCCGGTGATTGTGCTGGCCATGTCATATTCCTCAAGTTCCTGTTTCTTTTTGCAATAAGAACCCTTTACACAATTTAGATGAGAGCTTAGGGTTGTTATCTTGCTGCATAATAAAATTTCTACGTATTAACCGGTGACCTGATGGTAGAGCGTGCTGTTCGAGTATCTGTTTATAGTCTTCTTTTTTCATTGTATTTTCTATTTTGATTAGGTCTCCTACTCCAACCGTTGAGAAACATCCCCAGACCATAACTGAACCACCACCATGTTTGACAGTAGGTACAATACGCTCTGGCAACATTTTTTCATGTACAGATCGGCGAACAAATATCCTTCGGTGCGACCCAAATATTTCGAATTTGAATTCGTCAGTCCAAAGAACCTTACCCCACTCCGTAGGTGTCCAATTTTTGTGACTTTTTGCCCAATCCAACCGCATTTTACGATTTTTCGACGAAAGCAATGGTATCCTAACTGCTATGCGGCAATTTAAACCTGCAGCTGTTAGTCGCCTTTTCACCGTGGTCAGAGATATTGGATTCGGTCTACTATCATTAAGTCCTACACGAATTTCCGAGGCCGTTAATCGTCTGTTTCGTTTGCAAATAATATTTATTCTTACATCTTCAGTTCTCGACGTGATTTTGGGTCCTCCTGACCGTGGTTTGTCTTTCAAACTACCAGTATCCGCAAAACGTTTTACTGTACCCTGCACGCCCTTGTATGATACTTTCAATTTCCTTGCAATATTCCGCAAAGAATAACCTTCCTTTCTAAGTGTAATAATTGCACTTCGAGTTTCAAAACTAATTTCTATTCTCTTTGCCATTTTAAAGTATTAATGTAAAATTTTAGCTGCTGATCACGTTTCAACGCCTTCGTTCACGAGAATGGTGGCCGCATGTATAACAAATGTCCGATTTATACATTTTCTCGGCTCCCGGATCAGCCAATTGGAATCCAATATTGTAACATTTGACACTTATTGGTAAACAAAAGAATCGAGAATTCCTATATAAGGCGAAAACAGAGTATCTTTCCCGGCAGTAGAAAAGTTGCCTTAAACTGAGTGCATGAATTATATAACAGTATGATGGACCTAAGAAAATGCTGAAATATCTTAAAGTATAATTCAACTTGTTAACATCTGATATATTAACGATGGATCATTCCAAAATTTACCGGTATATTCGATTTTGATAGAAATCGGCAAGTGATTCCAAACTTTTGGCCGGTAGTGTACCTTTACCGCTCGAGGTATATCGAACATTACGACACGCAAAGTTCTCAGATCCTTCCAAACCTGGAGTACGACGTATCAACATATGTACATACGTTGAATGTTCCAACCTCCTATCAACTAACCGACACTCCGCTCCGTGTGAGGTCACCAAGCATAAGCCGTAACACGCTATTAGTAGTGATTCACTAGTAAAAATTGCTAAACAAAAAGGAAAATAATAGGAAAAATATTCTTTAGCAAAAAAACAATTTTTTTAGTAAATCGTTTAAACAATTAAAGATCACCGTCGTTTCTCGAAAAATATTGCAAATATAAAAAATCGACGTACGCTACTGTGTTGATTATAATCTTAAAGGTAAAACTTTTTCCTTTTTTATTTTTTTTTTCGCATACTTACAATTTACGAGGAAAACTAGTAGCTGTGTAAACACCCTGTATACATATTATCTATCGCTAATAAAAATTGCTAAACAAAGAGGAAAGTTAAACAGAGAAAATAATAAGAAAAATATTTCTTCAGTACAGAAACCATTTTTCCTTCCTACTCGATAAATGTTAAAAACGAAAATTATTCAATTAATTGTAATGCAATCATTAACAATTGTATGCACTTCCTGAATAATTTTTTAAAGGAAAATTATCAAAAATAGTAATTCTACAGACTTTTTCGATAATTTTTTTTTTTTATTATTTATTCTACAAAAATATTGACGTGCGAATGTTACAATTAACAGTCACACTTGAAGCGTAAAATTCGCTGAAAATAAATTTCCAAGTTTCGTGTTTCTTTTTCAAGAACTTCATCATTATGCCTCGTCCGATCTGAATATAGTTCAGAATCTCATCCAGTGTAAGAAATTTTCTCTCGTGGTCGTCGAATCAATGCGAAATTCAAGATCGTCGTGTAATTAAGTATCATCTTGCACGATTAAATGCAACA